ACCTACTTTCAGTTTGATGGACAAATATACCAACAAATCAGAGGAACACCCATGGGATCACAACTCTCAGGACTCATAGCAGAGACTGTAATTCTAGAATGTAATCTAGAAACAATAGCACTCCCACACATACAACCAAAAGTATGGATGTGGTAATGTATATGCACCTTCGTCCTAACAAAAAAAAAAAAGAACAACTAGAGAAGACACAAGAAACAATCAACAACATATTCAAAGGGATAAAATTCACAAGGGAAGAAGAAAACAAGAACACACTACCTTTCCTAGATATCCTCATCAGCAGAAGAAATGACAGCAAATTAGAAACACTAGTCTATCGAAAAACAACCCATGCTAACCAAGTTCTCCATTACCAAAGTAACAACCCAACCTCCCACAAGAGGAGCTGTGTAAGAACATTATTCAAACATACTGCAGCACAAATATACTGCAGCAACCCAGAACATTAGAAAAAGGAAACAGACCGTCTATACACATCTTCCAACGAAATGGACGCCCACACAACTTTATCAAAAAGTGCCTGACCTCTCAACCCACAACAGCACAACCAACACAATCTATGAAAAGGATAACACTGCTATACACCAGAAAAATCTCAGAAACAATCAATAGACTATTACAACCACACAGTATCACCGTACTACACAAATCAACTAAAGCCCTCCAAAATATCTTAAGGAAACCAAAAGATCCAGTAGCCCAACAAGAAAAAACAGGAGTCATCTATAGCATACAGTGTAAGGACCATAACAGCCATTATGGAGGACAGACAGGCAGAAGACTAGCAGAGTACATCCATGAACACCAACTAGCAGTCAGAAGGCACAATGAAAACTCCTTAATCGCACAACACATGGACAGACTCAACCATAGTTTCAGCTGAAAAACTGTGAGCATCCTAGACCAAGCTAAATCCAAAAACACTAGGGAATTTCTGGAAGCTTGGCATTCAGACACATCAGCCATCAATAAACACATTGAGATAAGCCACATTTACATACCATTCAAAAGAGACAATAAGAAAGCTAAGAAGGAAACAAAAAGACCAGAACATATCCACTCCAGCAGCTGACACCCAGATAAGTAGGGATGACCACCAGACAAACAATCAAACAGAAAACAATACTGTAATCAAGGAACTACCAAGGAGACAAACAATCAAGCAGACAAACAAGCCAAAAACAATACCCTAATCAAGGAACTACCAAGAAGAAAACCGTACCACCACTAATACTGGCAGGTCAAGCTACTGTATATAAACAGAAAGCAAACCCCACACTCACTAGCACTGATGATGTTACCTAGTTGGGCAATGAAGTGTGTGCAATTGAACAACCAAGCTCAGAGAGCACCAAGGACTCCACATCTATAAAGACCAGATTTTTAAAATATTAGTCAGGAAGTTTAAGTTCTGTTTACCCACAGAACAGAGTCCTAGCAATATGCAACTGAGGATAAAGCAAGAATATAACAAAATTATAAAGCTGGAAATGAAAATAAATTATGCCATATTAGTAAAAAAAACATTCTTGTAAATTCTGTTATGAGCACATTATGTATATTTACATGTCCAATGCTGTACTCTTTAAAATTCAGGGTGGGATCACAGAGAGTAAATAATGAGAGACATTATCTTAAGGACAGGTAGCTTCCTTCTTCAATAGGCAGTAAATTCTGTGTTGGTAACAGTTCCTTTGCACGCAAACACATTTATCATGAGCCAAGCAGTATTGCCTCTTGCAAAGGATTGAATACAAATGCCTACTTTACTGGAGCACACTTCACAATATTAAGAATGGGATAATTCATAAAGACAAGCAAGAAAGGTAGCATTTCACACTTTGCCTCTAAGCTATAAATAGTTATGGCATTTTCAAGAAAGCTCTTCTTCTGTGTATTAAGTGTTCTACACAGTTCATCATTCACTGCAAACACAGAACAGCATCCAACTTGTTAAATAAATAATAATATTCAACACTTACCAAGTTTTCTTGGTTTCTGGCAGCTACCTTTTGATCATCTTCTCCCCCATTTTTCATGTATTTGACTTCTTCCACAGGTTTGATCCTATACTCATCTGGAAATTGAGAGAAGAAAAAAGCCACACATAAGAAGTAGTAATAGAAACTGTAAGGCTTACGGCAAATGAAAATATAAATGGCTTTCAGAGAACAATCTATGTATTTTTCATAATGTCAAATAGCAGCTTAACAAAAAATTTTTCTGTACTTTCCTTAAGGATTAGAAATAGTACTCAGAATGAACAATTTAAAAAAAACCTTTCAAGTATGTCAGTATGTTAAGAGTACTTTGATATTTCTTCAATGACCCCAGTTCAAAATATAATTGAATGGGCAAGTGTGTGCCTATAATATCATTCTGAGCACACCTACCTAGTATATGCAATTGAAAAGCATACCAGAGAGGTGGGCCAACTGCATCTCTCTAACATATATCTATGCTATATGCTGGGATACAGAGAGAGGCAATGAATTAAAGAAAAGGAAACAAAACAGGGGTTAATGGATAGTTCTCACAAAGGAAGGATAGAAAATAGTGGGTCCTTTCAGGATCAGTATTGAGAATGATGCTTTTAAATTTTACTTTTAAATAATCTGAAGCACAAAGTAAAAAGTAAGCAGCAAACTTGCAAGTTTATGGATAATGCTACATAATCTATTTTTTACAAAGCATAAAAAGAGAAAAGAAAAAGAAAAAGAAAGCAGCTTCTGATTCCTTTTGCAGCAAATACAATTATAAAATTAACTCTTACTCTATGATTACAAAAAGAAAATACTTTTTTCTATTATCCATTTTTTTTCTAATCACGATTTGTGGTTTTGATGAGTACATTTTTTTCCTTTTCATGCAAAAAGTCTATAAGGGTTTCCGGTCAGCCATAAATGTAGATATTGCTTTTTCTCTAATCAAGAAAGCTAATTTAGCCATCTCTGAAAGTTCTATCATCTTTACTAGCCATTACTCCATTGTGGGTACTGTCGAACCTTTCCATTTTTGAGCAAATAACGGTCTCGCTGAAGTTGTCATATATAAAAAAACAAAGTTCCATGACCTTTTTCCTAATTTCTTTTGGGACTAAGGGATAGGCAAAGTCTCTGGTTTCAGTTGTACTTTAACCTTTAAAATCTTCTGAATTAGTGTATGTATTTGTATCCAAAAATTTTTGGGTTTTTTACATGTCCACCAAACATGGTAAAATGTCCCTTCATGTCGTTCACCTTTCCAGCAAAGATTCAAAGTACTTTTATACATTCTAGACAATTTCTCTGGTGACAAATTCCAACAATACATCATTTTATAAAAATTCTCTTTAAGGCTAGAACATAATGTAAATTTCAATCCTTTCAACCATGTATTTTCCCATTGATCCATTTGTATGTAATAACATTTATAGCCCATTTTATCATACATTCTTTCACAATACATCATTTTATAAAAATTCTCTTTAAGGCTAGAACATAATGTAAATTTCAATCCTTTCAACCATGTATTTTCCCATTGATCCATTTGTATGTAATAACATTTATAGCCCATTTTATCATACATTCTTTCACTTGTTATTTTTCAGCAAAACTTTATACATTTTTGCAATAACATGGTCATCATTAGCACACAATTCTATTTCAAACTCAGTTGTATTTTGTTCAAAACCATAAAATCTTTAATCTACTTTAAACCTTTCTGAGATAATGCTACATAATCAAAGGAGATAAAAACAAGAAGAAAATGCAAGCAGCTAAAAAAAAAAGTTTCACCACCCAAAGGGACTGAGAAATAGCAAATGTGATTTAATTTAAGCAAAGCTAATAATTCAGGCTGAGGAAAGAGATCCTAACTAGTGGTCCAAGATAGCAATGACTGACCACTGACCATTTTACTCATAGAACTAAATCCCAGTGTTAGTAATGAAGCTCTATAGGAGGAGATTCAGAACTCATGGAAGGAAATACTTCACACATTTACAAAACTTTCATGATGCCATCTATGGTATTACCGATGGAACAATGTGAGAAGTCCAAAGTGGCTGTGACTGTCCAGGGCCCCTGGCCTTGGCATTGTGAGACTGACCCAGTATCTGACTGCTGCATATTCCAGTCCTTCCCCGCTCACTGTCCTACCTTATTTGGCTTTTTCATTTTTTTCCTAATGACTCTACTTTTCCCCAAATCTTCCTCTCTTTGTTGCCATTTCTTCTATCACAAATCTAATCATTGCCAAAGGAAACTTGCTGGATAACAGTAATAGTAGCATAATTCTAATGTGCTCATATTCTGTTGTTGGGTTTTCTCAAGGACCTGGTTGATCACTGTGGAAATAGGATGTTTACTTTATTTACCTACTTGATATATATCCTTGAAATATCCTGTTCTCCAGGAATTAAATATAGTTTACATGGGAATCTTCCTTCATTCAATCACCATAGCAACAACTCTGAGATAGTTCAGGCTGAAAGTGATTGGCCCAAAGCCACCAAGTGAATTTCAACAGAGGAGATAACCTGAACCTGGATTTCCCCAGTCGTATACAGTATCTTAACCATTACACCATACTGGTTAATAGTGCTCGATTAGAAAGACTCTTGAACAGAACTCTACATAGCCTTCCCCAAACTGGGGCTTCCAGAAGTTTTTGAGATGAATATATGCACACTTAATACCAATGTTGCCATTATTTGAGCAAGTACAAATTTGAAGTACATCAGATCCACACTAAGTCAAAATATAGTCTTAGTCCTTCTATTAAAGTCACATTACATAATCAGGAAACTCCAAGTTAAAATGCACAAGATTCAGATGTTCAATCTCTTAGTAGGCTACCTTTTATGGGCTCTTAAATTATTACTAAAGGCTGCTCATTTTTATTTCCTCATGGTGGACTATTGTATCTCTGTAGAACAGCCTTCCTCAATCTAGTGCTCTCCAAATTTGGTAACATTCCTAGACCTAGAATTTCCAGTCAGCATACCAGAAAAACATTACCAGTGTCTTCCTACCTCCCAGAACATTAAAAAACAATGTCATCTTATAAGTTCAACAGATTTCTGCTACTTTAGAAAAATTTGTTTCTGCCCCACTAAGAAAAATACAATTAAAATGTATGTTGTCAGAATGAAGAATCACCGCCAAAGGTAATTTGAAAAATCTTACTTCCTTGGTAAGAAAACAAAAGTGTCTCCTAGGTAACTTGACTGTCAGTGTTAAGAGAAATATCTGACTAATTATGACCTATAGCAGTATAATAAGAATCATAGCAAGTATAAATAACTGTCCTGGAATTGGTCCAATGCACTTTAAATTCAAGAACTGGACTTCCAGAAGGCTGATAAGTATTATTTTAGTTCAGATGTCAACATCACAATTGGTAACTGTTGCAATAATTCACTTTCACACATATTTGCCTCTGACTTTTGCATTAATCAAAATGCAATCCATATAGGTATGTATAAGTAGAGACTACATTTGTTTCCGCCCTGGCATTTGGAAATGATTTGTACAACACATAGTAGGAATTGTTATCAGAATGAGAGTTTGTTTCTGCCCTGGCATTTGGAAATGATTTGTACAACACATAGTAGGAATTGTTATCAGAATGAGAGTTGGGATACTAGTCAAACTATGTTAAGCAAAGCCATCATACAGCCTATCATTGGAAACCACAGAGTTACTATCTAATATTCTGTGGAGTCAAGAACAACCTTGCAGAGGGGGTGTCCTATATGTTACAATGAACTTTAGAACACCTAATAGCAAAATCTTCAAGGAAGGCTGCATTTTCCCCAGTATCATAGAAATCTAGATACATGTGCACACAAATATTCACTCAGAGCCTGGCACTCTCCATCTTTTAATCACAATCATGTAGACATGTGGTTCCAAATTTTACTGATATTGTTATCAGTGATTTACAGTATTTTAAAGAAGATTTGAAACTAGGTTATCTCTAGGGACTTAGGACCAGACTTTCTCTTTATAACAGTTCTATAAAATCAAAGTTGCTATAATTTTATCTAGTGGTTTCAAATAATTTATAACTTTTTGAAAATATCTGGCCAATAAACTAACCAGTAAGAGCAGAGAAGACAAGGTAATGGCAACTTTAGTTGGTGTTTTATACTTCAAAGTCTTAACATCCATGGTGGCTTTTTACTGATTATTACTATGACCTTTAGTTTTTTAAAAAAATAAATACAAATCCCATTATTGACATTGTTCCAACTTTGATCAGTAACTTGGATTGCTGTTTCTTCACACCTCTCTCCCCCAGTTATATAAAAAAGAAATTCCCATTTTTTCAATCAGTTCAAAAGTGCATAATACATATACATTTTTATTTCTTCTAACAATTCAAATATTGTCAAACGTTTGAACTCCCCAAAGTTCTTAATACTATGAGCATTAAACTATCTCTAATGTGAAAATATTGAAATCAGAACAAATACTCATAATTCATCTTCTAAATAATACCATGTATTCAAGGGTTTACCCGCACCCACCAAGTCCTCACTGTGGCAGGGGGATGTTCCTGGGTGAGAGGAATGAAGAATGCCAGGAACATATACTGAGAGTATACATTTCCAGCAGTGTCAACCAAGGTGTGAAGGTCATCTCAGCTAGCCAGCTAAACCAAGCAGGCACTTATATAGGGCAGAAGCTTAACAGGGTGTGCAAACTATTGTACAATATTCTTAATTTCACATACTAGCAAAATAATATTTAGGATCACTCAATGAAGATTGGAGCTATATGGAAAAAGAGATGTCATATGTTTAACCTGGTTTTAGAAAAGGCCAAGAAATATGAGATATTATTGCTGATGCATATTGGATAATTGAGAAAGCCAAAGAATATCAAAAATAAATCAGTATGTGCTTCACTGATTACAGAAAGTGTGGGGCACAAATAATCTTTTATTCTTACATATTTGATTCTGAAGTGCATGATAGACAGAGCAAGAAAACTGAGACTGCCTAATGAACCTGAAAGGGAAGGAGACAGATAACAAAAACCAGATGGTTGTTTTTTCCATGGTGCGAAGGGAATCAATATATGGGAATAA